CGGAGCGTGGCACTGCCCCCTCACGCTCTGCCCTCCTGGAGAGTGGCACTGCCCCCCCACGCTCTGCCCTCCCGGAGCGTGGCACTGGCCCCCACGCCCTGCTCTGACACAACACCCAGATCCTGAAAGGAAGCCCGTATTTTGCACCTCCTGCGAAGAATTCGTCGGCAAGACCTGCAGAAGGAGTTCCGGTTTCTGCCGGGCCAAGCACCCTGACTTCATGTGCCAGACCAGACGAGTGTACACGCAGCACTTCACTGGAGGTGAGGGCAGGGAGGGCGGGCGGCGGGTAGCAGGGTCTGTCTGGCTCCATGGCCCTCCTCACGCACCGGCTTGGGGCCGCTGACACTCGGGCGTGTCTACCCTTCTCCAGTTCTGGTTTCTCGTCTGGGTAATGACTGCTTTGTGACTGCAACCCCCACCCCACTAACCGTCAGGGACCCATCCCTAGCAGGGTGAGGGTGCGGCTCTGTGTGTCCGTGTGTCACACGCATGCTGCCGTCGGGAAACGCTGCTCCCTTCCTGGAAGGCCTCCCTGAGGGGTGCGGGGTGGGGAGAAACCGTGCCCTCAGGCAAGCCCTTCACCCCTCCCCGGGGCCTCCTCCCTGCAGAGTACCTGCACCAGTACTCGGCCCTGGGCTGTCCCCGGAGGTGCGCGGAGTACGTGCGTCTCAGCCCCGGGGAGAAGAGCACGATCTCCTGCTGCAACCAGAGCTACTGCAACAGCCCGACGGGGAGAGACGGCCCGCCCAGCACCACCCAGCTCAGGGGCCCGGTCCAGCCGCCCGCTGACCGCGTGGACCTCCGCCAGGGGCCCGGTCCAGCCGCCCACTGACTGCGTGGACCTCCACCAGGGGCCTGGTCCAGCCGCTCGCTGACCGTGCGGGCCTCTGCCAGGGACTGTCCTGCCACTGTCCGCCCTCACACATGGAGACCCAGAATGCCTTCAGTCCCACCCCACCCACTGTCTCTGAGAGCTACGGGTGAAGAGGAAGGAGGTGGAGCTTTGAAAGCGTCTGGCCCGAGTCAGGCCCACCAGGCCCGTGGCTGGCTCCGTTGTTCCCCAGGCCCCCGGGGTAGGAAGGGCCACACTGCTGGATGGCTGTCACAGCCCAGCCAGGTCACCGCGGTGGCTCTGTGAGGGACAGCCATGCACAGCTCCCAGTGTCTCCAGGGCTGACCACACAGGAAGGAAGGGACACC